GATACCATTGATTTAGCATCGATTATCCAGTACATCTTTAGAGCAGCATAGATCTGTCACGGGGCAGGTATAGATCTGTCACGGGGCAGGGGTATAGAGCAGACGGGCAGGATCTGTCACGAGCAGCGGTAAAGACCTGTCACGGGGCACGGGTATAAATCTATCACGGAGCACGATAGATCTGTCACAGGGCACGGGTGTAGATCTGTCACGGGGCAGGGGTATAGATCTGTCACGGGGCAGGGTATAGATCTGTCACGGGGCAGGGGTATAGATCTGTCACGGAGCACGGATATAGATCTGTCACAGGGCACGGGTGTAGATCTGTCACGGGGCAGGGGTATAGATCTGTCACGGGCAGGGTATAAATCTGTCACGGAGCACGGATATAGATCTGTCACAGGGCACGGGTATAGATCTGTCACGGGCAGGGGTATAGATCTGTCACGGGGCAGGGTATAGATCTGTCGGGCACGGGTATAGATCTGTCACGGGGCAGGGTATAGATCTGTCACAGGCACGGGTATAGATCTGTCACGGGCAGGGGTATAGATCTGTCACGAGGCATCACAACCACCACCATCACCAACCACCCCTGCCACCACCACCACCCTCAACCACCACCACCACCACACCACCCCTCAACCACCACCACCACCACCACCCTCAACCACAACATGTAAACAAAGCCTGTTTCCATCCTCCCTTACCCTGCCCCCTTACCCTCCTCCCTTCTCCTGCCTCATCTCCTTTACCCGTTTCACCCTCCCTACTCCCGTTCTCACTCCCTCCCCTACTCCTGCCCCCTCATTCTCCTACTCTGCTCCCCACTCTCCCCAGCCCCGCAGTCACTAAAAGTAGTTCAAAACACCACAAAAGTCCAGAGAAGAAAACTTACACAATTTACCTCGGGAGGTGGTGAGGGTGGGGGGGGAGGGGGGGGGCAGGAGAGAGGAGGGAGAGGAGGAGAGGAGAGGAGGGAGAGAGGAGAGGAGGGAGAGATGAGAGGAGAGAGGAGAGGAGAGAGGAGAGGGGAGAAGGGAGAGGATGGACAGGAGACGAGGAGAGGAGGGAGAGAGAGGAGGAGAGGAGGGAGAGGAGGGGAGAGGAGGAGAGATGAGAGGAGAGGAGGGAGAGATGAAAGGAAGGAGGGAGAGGAGGGGAGGAGAGGAGGGAGAGAGGAGACGAGGAGAGGAGGGAGAGAGGGAGAGGAGGAGGAGAGGAGGGAGAGAGAGAGGAGGAGGAGAGGAGGGAGAGAGCAGAGGAGGGAGAAGAAGAAGAGGGGAAAGATTAATGGTCAAGAGAGGAAGGATTGAAGAGGAGGGGAGGAAGAGGATGAAGAAGAGGGGGAGGAAGAGGATGAAGAAGAGGAAGAGAAAGAGGAGAGAGAGGGAGGGGGAAGGAGAAGAGGAAGAGAAGAGAGGGGAAGGGGAAGAAGAGGAAGAAGAAGAGGATGAAGAAAACAGAGAGGAAGAGGAGGGGAGGAGGAGGGGAGGAGGAGGGGGGGGTGACATGTCGCTACAACCTCTAGTTAATTGAATCATTAATAATAGTGTACACTGCTGCCTTTACACCCAGGCAGAGAAGCCTCCTATGATACCCCTCTTATTCTTCCTCTTCCTCCTCCTCCTCCTTTTTTTTTCCTCTCCTCTTCCCATCTCTCCTCCTCCTATTCCTCCTCCTCCCCTTCCCTCCTCCTCCTCCTCCCCACCTCCTCCTCCCCTCTCCCTCCCCACGCCTGGATGTAGTAGCGGGTAACACTATTGGATGAGTCTTATGGTAATAGGTAGGTAGAATAGGTAAGTGTAGGCCTATGGGTAAGTGTAGGCCTAAGGAGTAACTGTAGGCCTATGGGTAAGCGTAGGCCTAAGGAGTAAGTGGAGGCCTATGGGTAAGCGTAGGCCTAAGGGGTAAGTGGAGGTTTTGGGGTAGCTGCAGGCCTAAGGAGGTGGAGGCCTGGGTAAGCGTAGGCCCAAGGAGCAAGTGGAGGCCTAGTAAGTGTGTGTGTGTGTAGGCCTGCAGTGTAGGCCATGGGTAAGTGTAGACCCATGGGCAAGTGTAGGCCTAAGGAGTAAAGTGGAGGCCTATGGGTAAGTGTGAGGCCTAAGGAGTAAGTGAGGCCCATGGGAGGCAGGGCCTATGGGTAGTAGGCCTATGGGTAAGTGTAGACCCATGGGTAAGTGTAGGCCTAAGGAGGTGGAGGCCTATGGGTAAGTGTAGGGCCTATGGGAAGGTAGGGCCTAAGGGGGAAGTGTAGGCCTAAGGGGAAGTGGAGGCCTATGGGTAAGTGTAGACCTATGGGTAAAATGTAGGCCTAAGGCAAGTGGAGGCCTCAGGCAGCCTATGTGTAAGTGTAGGCCTAAAGGGTAAGTGTAGGCCTAAGGGGTAAGTGGAGGCCTATGGGTAAGTGTAGACCTATGGGTAAATGTAGGCCTAAGGGGTAAGTGGAGGCCTATGGGTAAGTGTAGGCCTAAGGGGTAAGTGGAGGCCCATGGGTAAGTGTACGCCTAGTGGTTAAGTGTAGGCCTAAAAACAATTCCCCTTAAAACCTCCAAAATTAATTTTTTTTGAGATAATTGATCATTTAAAGTTATTTTGGGGAGATAATTTCTGATTTTAAGTCATTTTAGGTAATTATAATCCTATTTTAAGGTTATTTTTAATTTTAAGTCATTTTAGGAGATTATTTCAGATTTTTTATTTGTTTTTGTTTTCAGTTACGACAAATAACGACCTTACGAGCCTCTGAGCAGCCGACCCACCAGCCATAGGGGCCCTTGAGACCATGGAGGGCGCTTATCATGGTCCGCTGGGAGGGTGTGTGTGCTGGGACCATGGAGAAGGGATTTTAGATACATGGGGAGGAGGTTTCTGGGCCATGGGGAGGGGTTTGGGCCATGGGGAGGGTTTGGGCCATGGGGAGGGTTTGGGCCATGGGGAGGGTTTGGGCCATGGGAGGGGTTTGGGCCATGGGAGGGGTTTGGGGCCATGGGGAGGGGTTTGGGCCATGGGGAGGGGTTTGGGGAGAGTAAGTTGGCTAGAAGTGTGGGGTGAATCGAGAGGGTGAAGTGTGTATGGGGGAGGATGGGAGGGTAGTGTGTGGGAGTGGGGGGAGTGTAGGGGATGAGTGTGTGGGAGAGGAGTGTGGGGAGGAGAAGTGTTGGGGAGAGAAGTGTTGGGGAGAGAAGGTTGGGGAGAGAAGTGTGTGTGGGGGAAGAGTGTGTGGGAGAGGAGGTTGGGGAGAGAAGTGTGGGAGAGGAGTGTGTGGGGAGAGAAGTGTGTGGTGGGGAGAGAAGTGTGGTGGGTGGGGAGAGAAGGTTGGGGAGAGAAGTGTGGGGGGAAGAGTGTGTGTGGGGGAGAGAAGTGTGGGGTAGAGAAGTGTTGGGGAGAGAAGTGTGTGTGGGGGAAGAGGTGTGGGAGAGAAGTGTGTGTGGGGTGGAGCAGTGGGGAGAGAAGTGTTGGGGAGAGAAGGTGTGGGGGAAGAGTGTGTGGGGAGAGAAGTGTTGGGGAGAGAAGGAGAGAAGTGTGTGGGGAGAGAAGTGTGTGGGGAGAGAAGTGTGGGGTAGAGAAGTAAGTTGGGGAGAGAAGAGTGTGTGGGGAGAGAAGTGTGGGGTAGAGAAGTGTTGGGGAGAGAAGTGTGTGTGGGGGAGAGAAGGTGTGGGGTAGAGAAGTGTTGGGGAGAGAAGTGTGTGGGGTGGTGAGAAGTGTTGGGGAGAGAAGTGTGTGGGGAGAGAGTGTGGGGAGAGAAGGTTAAAGAGTGTGTGTGGGAGAGAAGGTGGGTAGAGAAGTGTTGGGGAGAGAAGTGTGTGTGTGGGGGGAAGAGGTGGGGAGAGAAGTGTGTGTGTGGGGAAGAGTGTGTGTGGGGAGAGAAGTGTTGGGGAGAGAAGGTGTGTGGGGAGATAAGTGTTGGGGAGAGAAGTGTGTGTGTGGGGAGTGTTGGGGAGAGAAGTGTGTGGGGGAAGAGTGGGGAGAGAAGTGTGTGGGGGAGAAGTGTTGGGGAGAGAAGGTGGGGGGGAAGAGTGTGGGGGAGAAGGGGTTGGAGAGAAGTGTGTGGGGAGAAATGTTGGGGAGAGAAGTGTGTGTGGGGAAGAGGTGGGGAGAGAAGTGTGGGGAGAAATGTTGGGGAGAAGTGTGTGTGGGGGAAGAGTGTGTGGGGAAGAGTGTGTGGGGGACTTGTTCACCCGTATAAGACATGTTTAAAAGCTGTTAAAACACGTTAGAGACTCGTTATGACACGTTTATCAGCTGTTAGGGAAAACTGGGCGACAAAATCTTACCGGACAAAACTCTCCGGACAAAACTGACCGAAAAACGGATGTACAGGTAAACAGAATAGGTCACTAATTAAAGGTAACACGACCTATTTCTTAAGGGATAGGTTAGTAGAGGTAGGATGTGGATAAGGATAGCGGATAGGGAGAGAAAGTGACACAAGGACCATATTAGGATTCTGAGGCCAAGGATAGGATGGATTTATTGCCTATTCTCAAGATGGATAGGGTAATAGGATAAATTATAGATAGAACAATATGAACCTATAGGATTTTGAGGTGAAGGATAGATGTAGGATAGGGTACGATAGAAGGATAGAGTATGGATAGGATTCTCATGTGATAAAACTTAAGATTTTGAGGCAATATTCAGGATATTGGATAGATTCAACGGCGAGACCAAATACGTTTAGGATAGGGATAGGACCAACAGACAGCCTGACAGACAAATAGACAGACAGACTGACAGACAAATAGACAGACAGACTGACAGACAAATAGACAGAGAGGAATTTCTCATCTAAAAAATTATTGAAATTCAAGACTTACGAAATTTTACTCTCTCTCTCTCTCTCTCTCTCTCTCAATGGAGGCAGGATAGTTAGCTTATTGTTGTTGTTGTTTTAATTGGGTGCTTCAACTACCAGGGTTTATTAACACCTTTTATAAATGAAACACACGAATAAAAAAAATCTAAACATCAATTAATCACTGTGAGCGAGAACCTACCTGCCGGTGCACCTGAAGGAGACGTGAATGACGGGTGATTATTGACAGCCCCTTCGTCAGGTTATAGTTGAGGTGTTGGGCCCCTGATGCAGCTCTTCCTCCTCCTCCTACTACTGCTCCTGCTGATGTTGCCTCCAGGTGCGTCCTCTCACTGATGGCATTTCTAAATGTCATTCGGCCAACGTCTCATAGTCTGCTCTCCTCTTAAGTCGATTTCGTATCTTGTCTCCGAGCCACTATCAGCCTGAGAGTTTATTGTTATCTTTAAACGTTTCGATCTTATCTTTGTTATCTTTAAACGTTTCGATCTTGTCTTTGTTATCTTTAAACGTTTCGATCTTATCTTTGTTATCTTTAAACGTTTCGATCTTATCTTTGTTATCTTTAAACGTTTCGATCTTATCTTTGTGTCACTTAATGAATCTTTATGTTTTAGTATTAATAGTTATTTATAAAGTTTTTATTCTAAGTTTGAAATATTTTTAAAAGTATCTTCTCGTTTATACAGTCTGGGGTCTATGTCTTAACTCACATGATCAATTGAGTACATCGTAGGCGGAACACCATCGTCTCTCTCTCTCTCTCTCTCTCTCTCTCTCTCTCTCTCTCGCTTTACGTCCGTGTGTCCAGACTAACACCAAATTAAACCCCTCCTCCTTCACCTCTATTCACCACGAAGCATTAGGAGGTAATGATCCACCTGACTGAGTGTTCTTGTTACCTCCACTTATCCTTCCCACAACACCATCAACCATCATACTCCACAGTGATGGCTACAACTTCACTTCTCCTCTCCCTCCTAGGTTAGGTTAGGTTACGTTAGGTTGGTAGGGGTTAGGTTGGGTTGGGTTGGGTTGTTGGTTGGGTTAGGTTAGGTTGGGTTGGGTTGGGTTGGGTTGGGTTGGGTTGGGTTGGTGGGTTGGGTTGGGTTGGGTTGGGTTGGGTTGGGTGGGTTGTTAGGGTTGGGTTAGGTTAGGTCAATGTGATGTCTGTTACTGAAGATGGGAATTATGGAGTACGGTTCACATTAATTAAGCGGTCACGGTGTTCTGATACAGGTGTCTTAAGAAACGTATGTAAGACACGTCGATAGCTAACACCTGCTTTTGGACACGTGGAAGAAGGACACGTCGATGGATGACGCTTGCTTTACGACACGTGGTAGCAGGACAAGTCGATAGCTAACACCTGCTTTTGGACACGTGGAAGCAGGAAACGCTACTTAAAACACCTGCTTGATGACATGCCACTTAAAAAACACCTGCTTGAGGACATGCCACATAGACACCTGCTTTAGGACATGTGGAAGCCTGAGGACACGCGGCGGCAGCGAGGGGCGCGTGGTAGTGTGAGGAGGCAGGACGGGGCCACTGTGTGTTGACGCTACCGCAGTCGACGCCACACTGAGGCAGGCAGGCCAGTTGAGTGCTGACCCGATAAGAGATACTGCTGCCCACCTACCACCACCTACCACCCACTACCTACCACCACCTAGCGCCACCTACCACCCACCACTACCTACCACCCACCACCTACCACCACTACCACCACCACCACCTACCCACCTACCCACTACCTACTACCCACCACCACCACCTCCTACCACTAGAGAACCTACACCACTAACGCTTGGAATGTGAGAGAGAGAGAGAGAGAGAGAGAGAGAGAGATGCTGGCACCAAATAATGAAAACAGTCTTGTAGTTTGGGTCATAATGTAAAGTAATATACATGAAGGTCAGGGTCGTGTGTCTTAAACCCCACCTGTACCAAGTTCCAGTCGAGTCTTTACGTCGTAGTGGTTGTTGTGGGTTCGTGGTGGCTGTTTTTGGTGGTTTGGTTGTTGTTTCGGTGTTCAGGTCGTTGTTTCGGTGTTTAGGTCAGTGTTTTGTGTTTTGGTCGTTGTTTTCGATGTTTAGGGCGTTGTTTTCGATGTTTAGGTCGTCATTTTAGGCGTTTTGATCGTTGTTTTCGATGTTTAGACCGTTGTTTTCGATGTTTAGGTCGTTGTTTTCGATGTTTAGGTCGTTATTTTAGGTGTTTTGGTCGTTGTTTTCGGTAATTTGGTTGTTTTTGTTAAGACTGCAGTTGTTACGGAGTCAGTACATCAATTTAACCCTTTAAAGACGATGGTTTAACCCTTTGAGGACGATGGTTTAACCCTTTGAGGACGATGGCTTAACCTTGAGACGATGGTTTAACCCTTTGAGACGATGGCTTAACCCTTTGAGACGATGGTTTAACCCTTTGAGGACGATGGCTTAACCCTTGAGACGATGGTTTAACCCTTTGAGGACGATGGTTAACCCTTTGAGGACGATGGTTTAACACTTTGAGGACGATGGTTTAACCCTTTGAGGACGATGGCTTAACCCTTTGAGGACGATGGCTTAACCCTTTGAGGACGATGGTTTAACCCTTTGAGACGATGGCAACACTTTGAGGACGATGGTTTAACCCTTTGAGGACGATGGCTTAACCCTTGAGGACGATGGCTTAACCCTTTGAGGACGATGGTTTAACCCTTGAGACGATGGGCTTAACCCTTTGAGGACGATGGTTTAACCCTTGAGGACGATGGCTTAACCCTTTGAGGACGATGGTTTAACCCTTTGAGACGATGGCTTAACACTTTGAGGACGATGGTTTAACCCTTTGAGGACGATGGTTTAACCCTATGAGACGATGGCTTAACCCTTTGAGGACGATGGTTTAACCCTTTGAGGACGATGGTTTAACCCTCTTGAAAGAGAGCGTAACCTTTAGGTCTATGAATTAAACCTGACTTGGTAAAACAACTAGACCGACACTTAAACACTTCTGTGTGTGTGTGTGTGTGTGTGTGTGTGTGTGTGTGTGTGTGTGTGAACCGCTGAACTTTAACATGCACAAAAGTTCAGACGTGTTGAAATATACAATACATATATATATATATATATATATATATATATATATATATATATATATATATATATATATATATATATATATATATATATATATATATATATATATATAAACACTCAAGGCAGCCTTGTTTATACAGTAGGTCATTAAACTTGCCCCGTGCCCTAAATGATTACCTTGCCCGTGCCCAAATGATTACCTTCCGCCCGTGCCAAAATGATTACCTTGCCCGTGCCATAAATGATTACCTTGCCCCGTGCCATAAATGATTACCTTGCCCCGTGCCCTAAATGATTACCTTGCCCCGTGCCCAAATGATTTTGCCCGTGCCATAATGATTACCTTGCCCCGTGCCATAAATGATTACCTGCCCCGTGCCATAAATGATTACCTTGCCCCGTGCCTAAATGATTACCTTGCCCCGTGCCATAAATGATTACCTTGCCCCGTGCCATAAATGATTACCTGCCCCGTGCCATAAATGATTACTTGCCCCGTGCCATAAATGATTACCTTGCCCCGTGCCTAAATGATTACCTTGCCCCGTGCCCTAAATGATTACCTTGCCCCGCCATAAATGATTACCTGGCCCGTGCCATAAATGATTACCTTGCCCCGTGCCATAAATGATTACCTTGCCCTGTGCCCTAAATGATTACCTTGCCCCGTGCCCTAAATGATACCTTGCCCGTGCCCTAAATGATTACCTTGCCCTGTGCCCCAATAACTGTCTTCTCCCTGGGCTACAACACTAAACCCACCACTGATTACCAGGTAAATGAGACAGGTGAGACAGAAGAGACAGGTGAAACAGGAGAGACAGGTGAGATAAATGAGACAAGTGAGATAAATGAGACAGGTGAGACAGGTGGGGTAAATGAGACAGGTGAGACAGGAGAGACAGGTGAGATAAATGAGACAAGCAGGTGTGTAATTCATGTACCAAAATCCTCCTAATTCACTGTTAATCACTAGCACACACACTTACGCCAATGGGTGAGTGATCAGTTACGGACGAATTCACTGTACCTCACTGCTGTAGAGGTCTTCCTGTAGCAGGGCAGTGACTACAGTGACCTACAGCAGGCGTAGCAGCAGTAGGAGCAGTGAGATGAGAGACGAAGTTGTAAGGTCACCTGAGTGAAGTCGATACGAGCAGGTGTGGCTACTGCTAAGAAGGGGAGGGAGGGAGGGAGGGAGGGAGGGAGGGAGGGAGGGAGGAGGGAGGGAGGGAGGGAGGGAGGAGGGAGGGAGAGGGGGGAGGTGAGGGAGGGAGGAGGGAGGGAGGAGGGAGGGAGGGAGGGAGGGAGGGAAGGAGAGGGAGGGAGGAGGGAGGAGACGACAGGTAGGTCAAGTTGTTTGGTGTGTCACTGAACTTAGTGACTCCTGCAGGCCCTGTGAGTGACATGACCTTGACCTTTGACCTTAAGCTGTGACCTCGACATATCACCTTCAGCTGTCATCCAAAAAGTTAGGTTAGGTTAGATTACGTTACGTTAGGTTACGTTAGGTTACGTTAGGTTACGTTAGGTTACGTTAGGTTACGTTAGGTTAAGGACGAAGAAGAGATTACGATGACTCAAAACAGCAACACCCTATGGCCTAGGCTGTCACAAAGACGGACGAACAGACAGAAAAATCGACGGAAAAACGGACAGAGGGACAGAACACCCTCTCTCACCTTAACACACAAATGACCACAACATAACGAGGACTCTCCCCACGAGGCTGTACACACAACACGGCAGCTCATCACCTCAAACAGCGGCGATAAACAACACAGAGACGGAATGAGTTGAATTATACATATATCTCCAGCATAGTGAGGGGGGCAGGTAACTGTGTGTGTGTGTGTGTGTGTGTGTGTGTGTGTGTGTGTGTGTGTGTGTGTGTGTGGTGTGTGTGTGTGTGTGTGTGTGTGTGGTACAAATGCACTACAGGAGGATCTAAATAAACTGCAGGGGTGGTCAGAAAAATGGCAAATGAAATTCAACACCAGCAAGCGCAGCGTACTTATTGGAAGAACAAATACTGACAATGACAGCCTTAACAACATCAACCTAGAGAAGTCGACTTGTCAAAGAGACCTAGGTACCTGTTAGCCCTGACCTACGGCCTAGAAAACAGTGCGTTAATGTTCGAAATAAGGCAAACAGAGTATTGGGTTTTATATCTAGAAGTGTAAGTAACAAGAGTGCAGAGGTCTTATTGCAACTATATCTTGCGCTAGTCAGGCCGCGCCTCGATTATGCGGTTCAGTTCTGGTGCCTTATTATAGAATGGATATAAATTCACTAGAGTCGGTGCAGCGAAGAATGACGAAAATGATTCCGGGACTTAGAAACCGTCCATATCAGGATAGGTTAAAGAAACCTTGCATTCCCTAGAAAGACGAAGAGTGCGGGGAGATATGATAGAAGTATTTAAGTGGGTGAAAGGAATCAATAAAGGGATATAGATAAAGTTCTTATAATATCCAGGATAGGACTCGTAGCAACGGTTTAAGTTGGATAAGTTTAGGTTTAGGAGGGAGATAGGAAGAACTGGATCACCAATAGGGTGGTGGACGAGTGGAACAAGCAACAACTTTGTAGTAAGTGCGGGAACTCTGGAAAGTTTCAAAAGGAGGCAGGATAGATTCATGGATGATAGAGAGTGGTAGTAACTCTCGACAGGAGCTGCCATGCACAGGTCAACCGGCCTATTGCAGACTCCTTATTTTCTTATGCTCTTGTGTGTGTGTGTGTGTGTGTGTGTGTGCAGGAACTTACTCACAGGAGAGGTCAAATGAGGTCCTGTGATGGTATATGAGTAACTCAGCTGTCGTTATTAATGAGTATCTTGTCTCTTATTGCACCTGTGTGAGTTAATGAGGCCGGGGTTATGATCTGTTAGTAGGAGGTAATTAACGCC